GATTGAGCCATGGAAAGTAATAAGAGCAGGTATAGAATTTGCGCAGAAACCGTTCTTATTGTTAGAAATTTGCAAATTGCCATACGGCAATCAGATAAATATATCTAATCTTTTTACTCGGCATATTTTCTTGAAAAAAATATATTAATAAGTAAGCATGATTCAGTTAATAAACACACACATCTAGAAAATAAAAATATCTTCTTTTATTCTCTTATGTTCAACATTATAAATATGTAAAAACATTTATTCTTTAATTCATTAGTAAGAAATAAATACTTGTTTTTTAAAACTTTTTTTTATAAAATACGGTTTCTATCTAAAAAAAAAAAATTACTTTGTTGTAGATGTTTCTTGCTAAATTTTAACAAGTCAGTTACATGAATAAGCATCGAAATAATTTTTCTTTTAAGATAATTTATACACATTTACATGATTACAATTTTGGCAAAGAAAGCATAAATCCGCTGATCGTGCAAGCGATGAAAGAAAATTCCATCCGCAATGCAGTCGACAACGGGCACCTGCGAAATTATGCCTGACGGTTTTTTTGAAGTAGCTTACTTGAAAAGTCACGCGATATATAACGTTGTGGTCTTTGTGCTTTGAAAGACTCTTGCGGTTTAATTCAATGGCCGGTACAATGACCGCTATTTTCAAAATTATTTTCATACATTTATTCATTATTCGTGTTAGATTAAAACGTATTAAAAATGGCTAAAGAATATTCTTGAAATTATTTCAATACACATTTTTAATAATGTTTGTGCATTATTTTATAAAATTAATTATATAATATTTATTTAATTATGTACAGAATTTTTTAAATTTTATATACAATTAATTTTTTTTCATTAAAATAAATTTTTTTTCATTGAAATATAAATCAGTTCAATGTTGATATGAATAAAAAATCATTGAATTGAATAAAATTAGAATTATTTGTTCGTTATTTTTTCGAATAAATAAAATAAGAAAAATATTTTTTCTTAATTACCTTTTTAAAATTTTTATTTTTGTTATGATCTTTTTTATTTTAATGTAAGTTATAAATTGTCAATAACCGTATAGCTTATTTCAATAGAGATTATTTCTTCAATACATACATGTATGATTATAAAATTTTGCAATGATTTCTTTTGGTCGAAATCGGATTGGTATCTGAAGTATATCTGAAGTCTGATATGGCAAAGACGAGGATATCATCGGTGAAGCTTGGTTTCGGTAGTTGGTAGCCGCAGTGCTGGCGCAGCGCCCTGACCTCAAAACATCGGCATGGATCGATAGAAAACTTCCTTCGCTTTGCACCACGTTCTCCGTGCAAACTTAGTGGACTTGGTGGTAGGCTGAAGAAGGTGCAAGAAGATGAATATTGCTCGGTGAAACTTGAGACGCTTGTTTAATCGACGAAGATTAGTGCGATGAAGAAAGTACCAAGTGGAAAAACTATCTAGAAACGTCCACCTTATTTGCGTAACATTATTAAATCATTGTTGGCACATATTTCGCAAATGATTCTGAATCATCTGTTTTTTCTTGGTTATATTGCAATAAATCGTTACAAAAAGCTTGCAGAGGAGCAATTAATAAATTTAAAAGCTATAGAGAGAAGGAGTTTTCAATAATTTATGTTCTTTTTCAATTACCTGTCTGTCGAGTTCGTTGTGCGTGGCATAATATGTTATTACGTCAAGTTATTCGATTAATTAATTAAATTGATAGAATTAATCAATTATTCTAAGAATACAAATGATATTGTCGATTTTTCTATTTTTTAATTGTTGATTTGATCTTTAATATAATATCGGTTTTATGTACGTCGAAGCAAAATTCGATCAGATTGGCAGATTCGCGCGATTGACATTCTGGTAATCAACCTTTGATGCGAATCAATGCTTATTCGGACAAGGTCGCGAAGCTTTCGTCAAGGATCATCGACCTCGCTCATTCTCTTTCTCTTTTGTTGCCGACACTCACGGTCTTTCGATCCTTTTGCGCTCGTTGCCGAAGAGACTCGAAGCGTAATCATGTGTGCAAGCGAAGCGCGATTCTTGTCCGCTCTCGGTGCTACAACGACGATGGCAAGGTGTCTGCTAGTTAAACGCATACACGTCGTGTCTACGTGTTTCCTATGCGTTTCTTTTCGTGTTAAAGCTAAGAGCTCATGTTCCGGAAGAAACACTGCGAAGACGCACGGCGATGGCGATGCACCTCATCAAGTCATTTTATTACAGTATGCACACCCGACAATGAGACAACACTCTTGTTTACGAGGTGCCGATGCTATGTGTACCATGTTCATGTTTTCTCATGTATTTTTTTCGTTTGAAGACCAACCAGTGACCGCTTTCTCTTCTTTTATTTAAAGTTCTTTCTTTCTTATTCCTACTTCACACTTTGTATCATATAGATTATAATTGTTCTTTTTGTTTAATAAATAAATAAATTAATTAATGAATGAAAATCAATATAGGACTTATAATTAAGAAAAAATAATTATAAACAAGAGTATCGAATTACATTACTTTAAATAGAATTTAAAACGACTTGTCAAACCAATTATTAAATTTTATTCGTAAGCAGTACAAATATGCTTAAATGTGCAATGTTAAATAGTATAAGGTAGTATAAATATGATTATCGGCATCAGTCGTCTTTTATTATTCCATTGTTAAGGATGTTTTCGTATAAACTCGCTGCGAAATACGACTGATCGATATTTTCGTGTGCTCATACAGGCGAGCGATGACAACGACGAAATATATTCGTTTTATTAAGGTGCACACGTGTAGCCGAGAGGTACGACTTCCTCCTGGTTTATGAGGTGTCGATACTGCCTCCCATGTAAACGCATATAAAGCGGGTTTACTTTTCTCATACACGTACGATCCTTGTACGAGCGAAGAGACGCACGGACATCGAAGTGAAAAAAGTAAGAGATATAGAAGGACGAAAAGACACACACACGTACATCACAACTTATTGCTTGCTTATTGCGAGAGACTTTACGACACGATCGACGAAATGACGTTCACAGATTTTTGTCTTTCCTATAGCTTTCTCACTTGTGGTTTTCGACTGCAATATACTATGCTAAAAAAGCTTAAATCCGGGGTAAGGTTTTTTTAGTAAAAATTTTTTAAACAGGATTTATCATCTCTTGTAAATGCTACTTGCTCTTGCTGAAGCAATTCAAGACTATTTAACAAATAATATAATATAATAAAAATATCTAGTTGCGTTTTCATAAGACCTAAAATTATCTTGACATATATTTAGATACAAATTGGAAAACGACACTGATCTTTAAATTTGATGGATAATATTCGTCAATAGAATAATCAATAATGAAATAATTAATTTTCGGTGAATAATATTCACCAATAAAATATAATCAGAACATATTTTTTTAATACCGATAAAAATTTTAAGAAGAAAAAAAGCATTTATGATATTGTAATATTCGATTAATTTGATTAACATGCATTATAAATATAAAAAACAAATGTATTAGCTAAAAAATTTCTAAATGATGGAATTAATCTCCAAAATTCATAGACAAATAGTTGACTAAGTTCTTCGTAAATGTCGTTTATTTTTAGTCTGAACTGAATCAACATCTGCTACGTATAAGTCAGCCTGTCGTTGGCATTTTAACGAATTGTCAACGGTTACCCTTTTGCATTCTATTAGAGCTGTTCGTGGTCGCTATGAGGGTTCGATAGCATTTAAGTGATGAAAGATGCCACGTATATAAAAACTTACGAAATAGAATCTTATTTGAGGTAATTATTATCGCATATTTGATGGTCTAAATTCTAAATATTAATGTTATTTTTCTTTGCCATTTTTTCTTATTTTTTGTTCTGTTTGTATAAGAAGAAAATACTTTTTTCGAGTTACCTTACATAAAATTGATGTTACGCTGTCACGTATTTAGGATAAATTTATGTTTTATAATTTTTTTTTATTTTATCTTGTATGAGTTGGTTTAGATTCTTCCAAAGAAACTGTATTCAGCATGTATCTAACAAATACCTACTTTTCTTCTATCTGCTATTTTTCATTGTTTTTAATGCGAAGATACAAATGCAAAAATAACAGAAATAAGAGAAACATTTGTGCAAAAATATTTATCGTTAGATACCGTTTGTTTAATATATACTTTGGTACTTTCATTTTCTTTTATCTTCCCCTCTTCTTGAAAAGTATTATAATAATGATATGTTCATGGGTGTGTATAGGATACAAACCTTTCAAGAGAGACTCGTGCTATAATAATAAATAATACCTCTCGCGGAAGGGTGAAGGATTTATGGGTAATTCGCGAATGGTATTGTTATATAATAGTCATCATATGGCTATTACATTCAAAGCTATTCTTACTTAATTTTTTATAGCTCAGATGTAAAATGTTTAAAGCAGTTGTTACATTAAAGATTACTATGAAAATAGATTTAGATATTTGATAAAAAATTGTTCCTAAATAGTTTATTTTGTATTAGATAAAAAAGCATAATATACACACATAATAAGGATAAAAACAAAATCAAAATAAGAAAGCACTCGTGTAGTTAGTGTGTATTATATAAACGAGAGAGAGGAAAACCATTATCGACAAAAAAGTTTGATTTAAAGTTATAAGTTTAATTGCAAATATTGAAACAGTAAAACGTAAAGAATACGATGTAACAAAATATTCAGTTGTATATTACAAGGAAATGTATCACATTTATTTATAGAAGTTGCGTACATAATTATACTATTTCTTAATTAAAGTGAAATACGTAAGCTGATATTAAAGATATCATAGATATCTTTTTTTTCGTACTGTAATTATATAACAGAATTGCGTGATATGCTGCGCTAAATAATGTTATCTCGTAAACGTACAAATTAAAACATGTCTGATACTGATGGTACCTGTCCCTTTGAGAGGTCAATCTTTTTAACTTTTATGGTCATGCGTTCTCGTGACATTGCGCTCCGACAAGATCAGGATGAAGAGTAGGTCGGGCCAGGTTAATGTCGAGACGTCTAGGTCAAGGAGTGGTCACTGGTCTCGATCGGCTCGTTTATCTCAACAGTCTGCGACCTACTTGAAACTACCGGTAATGTTAATATCGTTATTTTTCAGCGATAGGGTCGGTCGTGATGATGATTTTATTGATTTTGTCTATCTTGCCTCTAACAACTGGAAAGAAGTGCCAGATACTATTGATGAAGCGATTAACGTTCGACGAAAAACGATCGATTGATTTAATCCCGTTATGTTGGAGATCGAAAGAACTGCGTGACCGCTATTAAAGCTAGGTGACCTTATGGTCTTTTCCTTATCTGATGGTCAACGCGATAGTTTCCTTTCCATTCGCAAATAAATGCAGAAAATAAATGCAAACCGCGCATTTGCATGGTCTTCTTTAACAAAATCAACCGACTCGCGTGCTAACGGACGCGTGGGCGTTCTCGGAAGCGGGCTACGGACGAGCACGCTAATGCACGCTCTTGCAATTCCATGAAAATATTCCCGCCTGTTCCTACTAACCTTCCTTGCATTTTCTAGGAGTATGTATTTTACCTGTGATAAGCTTTTGTGCATCGTGATAAGCCTATACTCTCATTACGAAGCGGAAATTCGCCGTTTGTTTCTTTTTATAAAAAGAAAAGAAGAAAAAACGCGTTAAAATAAAATGTAAAATTTAAGAAGGGAATTTATCATACGAATCGAAAGTACTGTTAAGTATATCTATATAAATTTTTAATTTCTAATTTTAAAGATTGAAACTTACGATATTACAAAATTGACTTCTATCAACAGCTTTTTTTATTAGACCATGTTTCGTTAGACGAGGAGGACGAGGGTTTATATGAAGTAAATGTTAATGTCGAGCTACCATTGTATGACGTTTACATGCGGCCAAGGGTAAAAGATAAGTGAGTGTAAAAGAGGGATGGCAGTTGCAATGATATGGCTCGTCAAGATCGCCGGTTACGATTAGACCCACGGCCATGATGTGCTGGCACATTTAACATCCACCACGTTGTCATTATTGCTTATTATTTGCTCATCGTCCGGTAGACCTAGACGGTGCATTCGCATCGGATATGACAATGACAGGGGTGACGCTCGATGGCGTTGTTTACACTAGGGAATGCTGCGTGATACTAACGGTATCCGCGACTTTAATTATTCTTTCTCTTACAAAAACATCCTTTCCTATCGATTGGAGAATCCATCGCTAATAATCGTTTTGCGCAATTAGCTGATATCTGAGTGAATGTAGCAAAACGAAGTATTGTGCGTTTCTGATGGTTTCTTAGCAACTACGTTTTAGTCTTCTTAGATCAAACAAGTTTTTGAGGAAGCAGAAGAAAAGACGGCATTACACGACGACATACACGCAGGACATTGCGCGTCGCAGTAAATCGTAGTTCGTAAAACTCTGACGTTTCACAGTAGCGGAAATCACGTGACGTTGATGATGACTCAGGAGACGCTTCGCCGGCGCGGAAATTGAAGGAAGAGGATTCTTTCCCGTGACGCAGTTGATTTTACAATACACCGCGTGATTCTCCGACGCGCTGCTCCGACGCGCTGCTCCGACGCGACGCGCGGTTGCGTTAGAATGCTCGCTCGTAGATTAAACAGCGCTAATGATCCGTATCGCGATCCCGTTAGGACTGACTCGCCTCCTCCAGCGTGCATCGTCGTTTTCTGCTTCCGCTTCTAGCTTCACGCGTGTGGGCACCGTGTGCTCGAGAGAATCCTCTCGCTACGCGAAAGCTCTATAAATCCTTTTATACACAGCTTGTACCGTTGGTAACCGATGACTCTATTTCCCTTTACGTTCCTGTCAGAAAAAACGGGAAGTTTTACTCCTCAATTAACTTGATCGTCATGGGAAGTGGAGCAACCAGTACCAATTTGCAGTTGAAAATTACAGAACTAGAAGAAGTAGCATTTGAAACTGAACTAAATTAAGTTTAAAAAAAAATTTAAACGAAAGGTTTGAAGGATAAACTGGTTTCTAAACTGTTTAATCTTTGAGCCGATACGGACGCAACGTTAGTGACATCAGTGAATTCAATTTCAACAGTAAGGAAGGAAATGTGTATATAATATAAAAGAAACGATTTTACGTGAGACGTAATAAAATTACAGCGAATGTAATCATTTTGCAGAGCAAAGTAATACGACGCGATGTGCTAGTAGGATAAGGCGCGGAACAAGATAGTCTAGCAGTCGCTAACGATTAATTATGTATCTGCCTAATTGCGCAACGCATTAAAACGCTCACAGAAATGAGATAATAATGCAATTACAAATTATGCGGTGAAAGCAATTACGTTCGGCGCACAACGACGTTCGTTATAGCGTTAACAACCGATGTAGTAACGTGATAGATAGACCGTCATCCGCACCCATGCCTCGATGTCGCCCGGCGTCCATGCGGCCATGGCGGAGGACGACTAGGACGCTGTCCTAGAGCGTCGCTCCCGGCCGCGCGCGCACAGGATCGTGCGCACATTTTGCGATTAATTGCAAATAATTAGCGGATAATCCCGCGGAGAACGAGATAACGGTACAAGGACGTACGCGCCGCATATCGTCCATTGTTCGTGCGCGTTACCCAGACGCATTGTTGCGGTGCATCCTGCTGACTCGTTGCCTCCTCCCGTCCTATCTCTTCCTCCAGCCGTGCATCGATCCTCTTCTTTGAATCAAGACGCTTATCGTGACTCGCAAAATCACGCGATTCGCTTTTCTAACGTTGTTGAAATCACGATTTGCCTCCACCGATCCGCGAATACTTCAACACTACCGATGATTCACGTCGCGAGAAACTTTGCCAGTGTTATATCCGTCACAGTCGATTCTTCTTGTGAGTCGTAGCACTTCACTCTTGGCTTTATTGTTTTCTCGGGGTTGGATTGCCAGACAATGCGCAGTGTTTCGCACGCTTTGACGATGGCGCGGCGCGGGCGTCGTGGTATTCCCGGCGCCGCGCCGCAGTAATGACCCTGCGTCGTAATTGTTTTTAGAGCGTAACCTTTCTAAGTTTTGCACGCTTAGTAGAGAAGAGAAAATAAGAATTTCAGAATACAGATTAATTGAATTCCTCCAAAAAGACTTTATAAATTGTTTTATTTTTATGTTTCAGTATCAGTGTAAAATTTGAGCAATTCTTTTATACATGTATTTAAGAGAGAGAGAGTGTTATTCAATTTTTTTATTTATTTGATTCTTAAGGGATCCTAAAGTCGTCTGTATTATCATATACTGGTAAACCGTATAATTTTTGTATAACAATTACTTTTTTCCTCTTTTACTGATTCGAAAATCGTTTTCCAGGATTAAAGTATATCCATTAATACGTGTCTGTGAAATGGAGTTTATGCCGAGCACGACAAAAAATGTCGAAATTGAGATCTTCTTTACCATTTCTTAGTCCAACGACGCTCCAGAGCTGTCACGTCGTGATAACATTTGCTCCATAATAAGAAAGCTATGCAATCTGTATTTACGAAATAGTAGTCTACAGACTAGTAGTTTGCACGAAGAAACAACGTGGAGTCTTCAAAATTGGACTTAGACGTTTAATTAAAAAACGTTATTGTTATACGAAATTTTATGTGTATATATGTGCGTGAGATATTGATGTAGTAGTACGTAATGATATATCAATGTCAATCGTCTGTGTGTAAATCGTCTGTGTGTAAGTGCTATTTACAATGTGACTAATCGTCTTTAGGATCCCCTTAAAATTGTGTTTTATAATAATATTATTTATTTGCGCAAATTTTATGATACTCGTAGCATTATGAATTAAATCCATTTTTTTATATATATACTAATAAATATTTGTACAAGAAAAAATTACTTTCGTTTAAAATTATTTACCTAAAACTGCGGCAAAATATGGTCATTTTGCTGTATAAAGCCATTATAAGCCAAATTATTTATTTTGTTTTTTTTTCCAGATTATTTCAGGACGTATTCATGATGAAAATTTTTTGGCGAATATTAATTGATGTTGAGATTAGCAGATTTTTTTAGCTAATACTTTTAATACTTGTATATATAGCCAAAACATCCTTGATTTTATACCAAAATTTTTACATTATAATAATATAACCAAATAAAATTATTATATAATGAGTAACAATAAAATAAACTTAATAGTGATAATATTTTTAAGATACATATTCACATTTTAACATTTAAATTGATTATGATTTCTTGTTATATATTAAAGTCGATATAAATTAATGCCTTTCTGCTATTTTACACACATTATACATCATCGTCAAAAGTTTATAAATTTTTACCAATTTTTTGTTTAAAAATATATTTATATTTATCGGAAAAGATTTTTTGACTACCTTGATATGATTTTTATTATTTTATAATTTCCTTTTCATAAAAACTAGATTGTCTCGGAACATGTCATGCTTATGGACATTTATGCGTTTATAACTGTTATGTCTTTCTCCGTCGAATGATTCATGTTTCACTGCAGAATGCTTCGTGTATCAAACTCACCTTGTTTCTGTTACAGTTGGTTTATTTTATCAGTTTATTATAGTTTCTTTGAGAAAACTTCTGATTTAGTTTCGCCACATATATCATTTTATGATATATTATATATCATCTTTATGATACTTAACCGTTTCATGAAAGTAGAAGAAACTAGAAGCGAATGTAATACCTTATGGAGAGAGAAAAGCGTATTTGTTAAACTCAGTCACTGTAACGTTACTATTAGCGCTATTTTGTTGCTATCGCGATTAATAAAATACATATACCGTACATTATTTTAATAAAAAAAACGTTGCCAATCGATGAAAGATTTTATAACATATTTTTAATATGCATTAATTTGGAAAAGCTGTCGTAATATTGGAATATTGATTTCTATATTAATATTTTTCTATCATATTCATTTAAGACAGATTGTCTGTTGTTGATAATAAAAATAGAAAGAACTTAATTTAAATTAAAATGTAATTAGACTTTAAATATTGTCTTTAAATTTTGTGTTTTTAGGTATCTTGAAGAAATGGGATTGGTAGAACGAGAAGCCGAGATGCAAGAATTGAATGCTCCTAGACCTGGAAGATCAAGAGATCTTTTCGGAGTACAATTGGAGGTAAGATTTATATGAGAAGTTTATTTATTTAACTCAAACGTGCAAAGGATTACTCAATAAGCTTTGCGAAACTTATTGAGTGATCTATAAAATAATATATAAAATAATTTCTAAGATATTATGTTTGTTAATGCGGAGAGTCCTTGAAAGTCAGAACAATCGGGAAAGAGAGAATAATTTAATACGCGATCTCCGGTATCCTTGTTGAAGGTGAAAATACATTCGATCCAGGATTAGCTATCCATTCACCTGAGAGTACACTGACTGATTTCAATGGTCACTTTTGCCCGCGATTGTAGTGTAGGCCAGTGAGAGGCTCGACCCAGAAAATCCGTATCGGTTCTGGTACAACAGTCAGCCATCTGAAACTGAAACGGCCAAGGAAAGTTCGTTCGTTGCACTCTCTTCCCTGTTGTGATCAATCCGACTGTTACATCTTTCTCCGCGTCTTAACGAGTGAGATTCTAATAAAATAAAATATTAATTGTCAAAACTTAGCTTCGAGAATTTCTGCTTTGTTGAAAAATTTTTTCTAAACACATTTTCTTCTAATTTACTTTTTATGTCTATTGTAGCTTTTTTATTTATTTTTACAATAAAATAAACATTTGATTATTGAATTTTTTTTATAATTCGATAGAAAATTCAATAATTTAGGAGAGCGTATAACTAGGAGTATCAACAAGAATATTAAATAAACAGAAAGATACGTACGCATGCGTGCACGAAAAAACATAAGAAACTAGTTAAAAAGTTTTTTAAAAAAAGCTGAATAATAATAAATCTTCTTGTGGCAAAAAGTTGATGTAATGTGTTGCAATTGTATGCTCTTTTTTTATTGCAAATGTACATGTTAGCGATATTAATTTTGCATGTCATTGGACTATCAATTATGTTTGAATATTACGCGCACAAATCACACTCTCTTAAGTACGATTGTACGAGTGAGCAATAGCGAAATTTCTCTCTTCGTCGTTTTTTCATGCTAGATTTCTTTATGGACTTACTGGCTAATTCGCTTCATCACGGATGATTTTCCGTTTTAACCGCCGCAATGTTTCGGCGTAACAGAATCGCGGTTGAGAAGATCATTAAACTAATCGAAAGCGAAATTGAGACTATAATTTACCGCTAGTAAAATAAATTGGCGCTTGCTTCACTCGAATCAATTATTTTGAGAACAACATGAATTCAACAAAATTTTTAGAAATTAAAGTCACATAATGGAATTAATATATTATAAAAATTAGGAATGCACCGAACCGTAAAATTACCGAATACTGGATATCGGATTCTAAGAAACGCTTTAATTATAATGAAGTATCCTTTGCAGCATCTCAAGGTAAGAATTTTGCGTGTTACCAATCTAATCATATCGTAACATGAAATTACTCATAATGACATAGAGAGTTACATATTACTGAAAATTAAACGAAGGTCCTTGAAGTAATTATGCGGTTGCGTGCTGTGATTGGATAATTAAGAAAAGTGAAGCTTTGGGTGAAAAGCTTAGGAAGCTTTTTATTTTTTATTATGTTATCTTACATACGCTGACTTTTTAGTTTAATGTATGTTTAAGATTTCCGCGAATACCTATGTTACGATTGAGCATCGCCATAAAAATTTCTCATCATGCACGGGATATCCACAAACATTTTATATACATATAATTCGTGCTACCGGCATTTTACAGATTCCATTGAAATTGCTTGTGCGGATGAATGCTGCGAAAAATTATCGATAACAATTTAATTCTGCATACACGGAAAAAAAATGTTTCTGGTTTACAGCTAATTCTGATTAGCTGAAATTGCATTAGCTACTATAGCTATGAATTTGCTAATACATACAAAGGATTTGCTGCTGTAGCTAATATAAGGACGTGATAGCAAAATATGCATGTCTGTTACAGATCGATTTATTTAGCAATATGAAGTTAGTTATCAAAGTTATCGGATATGTCCGTGTAAAAGAAAATTGTCTCTACCACAGTTAAATATGGTTTGCTGAAACTGTACTTGTTACCAAATTGTCTGTTACACAGAAAACGTTTGCTGCAATGATCAATACATCGACATAATAGCAAAATGCTTGTCTGTTACAATGATAATATTTAGGCCTCACAGCTAATGGAAATTAGATCTCGCAAATACGCAAATTAGGTGTCCATATAATGCTATTGAATTTAGCTGCCATACCTAATTTTTAGCTGTGGCAGCTAATCTTTTTTTTTCCGTGTAATTGTGCAACTGCACAAGTGTGCAACATTCTAACAGCGATTATTTTCTCAATCTCGATCACACACACATACACATTAGTATAACGTCCGCAAATAGTTAGCAAGAATGCGCGATTACGATAGACAGGATAATAGGTTGGTGCACTCATAATCAGCATGGTATCGCGACAATCTTTAATAAGCGGAGTCAGTGCTCCAAGAAGTTGCGATTTTAAATTAAAGTTTTATTTCGACGGTTATATCCATGCACCATCTGTTTTACGATGCAACACGGTGCATCCGTCAGCGCGATTTGGAAAATCTAATGGAAACGTTTTAATAAAGTTCGTATCAATTTACAATAAAGGAACGCGTGATAGAAAACAAAGTGACAACTTAAAGATTCGTTATTAAGTGACATAATAAACAATGCTCGTGTATCATGTGTCAAAGAAAAATTACCAAAAATATTTAATAAATATTTAGTCATAGATATTTTTAAATAACGCGGTGCTTCTAATCCAGTCTCGTTAAAGTTTCTTTTCAGGGTAGTTCAGATCCGCTGAACTTCGTCAATAAAAGTTTATGCTGACCAAGTTTGATTTGACACTCGTGCTACCACGAAACTGGCGATTCAAGTTGACTTATCGCTGAACTTCGCTCAAACTAAGATAGTCTGATTTGCAATAACGAAGCTTTGGCAATGAGCACTTGTACACATTCCGGTTCCGGTGGCGTTTGGAAACTTCCGGTGATTGCGTGAATGTAATCGATGTTGCGCTGCTATGATATTCGGCTGATAATAATCTGAAGGGAAGTCACATCTCTCGGAAAAAGTTCTCTTGCCAAGAGAGCCAAGATAACATCTCAATGATCTTCTAGATATCTTTTCTTGAGAACCATTTTTCTCAAAAATACCTTATAGACACTCGGTCGAACAATTGAAAATAGCAAAACGTATCTTAAAGTGGAACAAATGTATTTATCTGCACACCTGTCAAAATAGATTTTTAATTATAACAAACACGTATATGGATTGAAATTTTTATTGCAAAGAAGTTTCTTTCGAATTCTTCAAATCTATCTACAGTGACATATGCGCATGATTAGTCATAACGCAATATTTGTAACTGACTCAATTTGATTATATAATATGATGTAACGAGGTTTCATCACAGATTATGTTCTTGATATTGCCTCCAAGTATTTTTTAAATTGTTATACTTTGAAAACAATTCTATTAAAAGATTCGCATAAGAAAGAAATTGCATTTTTCCATTTCAGAGATTATTCTCCTTTCTTTTATGCGAATTAGTAAAATATAAAAAATATTAATCCTCCAATTGGGCAATACTTCTATAATGATATAGTAATGTACATACAAGTGTAGTAATTTCCGTTTTATTTAACACTGTATTGCAGCAAGCGAAACAATTGCTTGGACTTGCTTGTGGAGAAGCTGTAATTTTATTATCGTGCGTTTCACATTTTTTAAACTGCGATGCGCGAATCGAGATAAACTCCAAATCATTATTATACGTATAAAATGCATCATGACTTATTTATCGTATATATCATAAATATACTATTTAGGTCGAATTTATATTGGCTATGGTGCGATATAATTTAAATTCCGACTTGGAGCATAAATGTTCAATATGCACGACGCGACCATAAAATGTTGGATGACTAATTCTTTTGCGACTGCTATCTACACATACATCTCCGCAATGCAAACATATATAGAGTACTTTTCAATAAAACTTATCCTCTCGATATATTAAAACGAAAATATGTGAATAATAATTATAATAACACCTATTATAATCAAAAAGTAAAGAATTAAAAAAAATATGAATTTAAAAAAATATATACGTATAATATTCGACATAACGATGCAATGTCTAGCTGTTAGCGATTAATTAATTGAATAATTTCCACAATGAAAATCGATGATTATTTAATTATTTATCTTTCTGTATCATTTAACTAAATTATTATATTCTTATAACAGATCGATATCTTGTTGCAATTACCTACACTTATTATCCCACTTCTAATTTAAAGAGAAAAAGATTAAAATATAAAAAATTGTATATAATATAAAAAAGGGATAAGGAACATCCTAAAGATATCTTTCGATTTTATTCTAATTATCTCTCAATGGGAATACCTACTAGTTAACAGTGATGCGCCAACGAAAAGAGCAACACGATACGCATTCGTGAGCACATCCACGCGAGCCTTCATCTCTTTTGTGAAATTAGCATAATCTAGCAATAATAACTCATACAATCGTAGGAAGTCCAGTGCTTTCGGTCAGTTATAGAATACATTCGTATCCTTCGTCGAGCGCAACGAGCTTAGGGGCTCGGTTCATATCTCCCTTTATCTATTCAGGCATCTCTTTGCTCACGTGTATATGCGTGTATATATATGCTTGCACGCATGGACCAATACTTGTGTTACAAGTACATGAATGATTTAAGTAACACGTGCGCGCGTGCGTATTTGCACGCGTCGTTGCATATGAGATGTTCGCGCGCGAGCTAAGCGTGAATTCGAATGTGCGCGTTTGATGCGTATTGTACGATTTATCGTGCTCATGGACGCAGCAGGGAAACTGAAATCGTTACGAGATATAAATAAAAACATGAGGTTTCTTACGCTGTCCTCTTTTAAAGTATTTATAAAGAACTCGTTTCTTTAACCTATTAATTTTGTTTATGCTTGGAATTGACGCTAATTTTTAGTAGAAAGTAGTAATAAGAAAGCTGCGCCGCTCAAGTAATCTTATAATTTAATGTAGCAATTATTATATTTTTTTTATAAGAATATATATAAATTTTTACTTCCTACGCAACATGATTCTCCGAGAGATGTCCTGGAGAATCATGAAGACGTCCTCTGGACGTTCTTGGCATATTCCTTGAAAAACTGTGTTATATAGGTTTGTGTTATATAGGTTGTGTGTGTGTGTGTGTGTGTGTGTGTGTGTGTGTGTGTGTGTGTGTGTGTGTGTGTGTGTGTGTGTGTGTGTGCGTGCGTGCGTGCGTGCGTGCGTGCGTGTGTGTGTAGTGTATATTCTATTTTTTATTTTCCGTATTTTTTTAAGATTGTTATTTCTTTTGCAGTTTGAATTTGTCCGTCCCTTCGTAGTTAAAATAAATAATAGAAACGTATTAAATCGCGAAATCCTTAATACAAGAAATTTTATGCTTTTATGCTATAAAATATGTATTGAGCTTTTTCTCATTTGAGATATTTGCATTTCACTTTCAGAATAGATTAGTGCATAACAACTTTAGTATGCGCTAATGCTCTCTAGGGCGTTCAATTACATTTGTTATTATTGTTATTTAATTAAAATATTAAATAGAACAAATTAGATTTTTATAAATCGACAGTTTTTATTAATATATATTATATATGTTGTATTAAAAAATTATGATATATATTACATATTAGGTATATTTAAAATTTATTCTATTATTTTCAAAGACGGTTGTATTGATAAATTAATTCGAGAGTTTAGTAGCTCTATCGATAGCTGATAAATAAATTAAAATATTAAAAATTTGTACCAACATGTGATTATTGAAGAAAAACTGCATTGCCATCAGTTGATAGATTCTCAAACATTCTCTCTTTTATCATATACGCGTTCTCAGATGGTAAAAGTAATACTGCAGTTTCTTCTTTTGCGCTCTTTGCGCTTATAGTCTACTCTTAATTTACAATAAGAATTAACTTTTTCGCTGAAAGTTCATTTAGTATATATTTTACGAAATAAATAAATCAGCTGTCGCTCAAAATATATCTCTGTAGAAATTGATTTTCGCAATTTTAATTTTTTAAAAATCTTGTGTCATAATTTAATGCAGAGAATAATTTTCTCAGAAAATCATTTTTTACGCGTTCTATAATTATATCTTTTTTTGAACTATAATATTATTATGTAGCTATAATAACAAGATTAAGTATTACGCATAAAATATAATAATCTAATATCTACATGTATACAATGTAAACTATATAAACTATGTTTTACAAGTCATTTATGTATAAGGCAATCTATAGATAGTATTGATCATTGATGTCTATATTTTTGTCGTTACGCCGGACTACACTAAAGCTTCTATTATGCTTGTTTATTTTTATTTATGAATATTAATGTTAAATATATTAACATTCATAAAGCTTAATTACTTTTTCTGTATTGTTTCCCGATTTATAATAAATTTACATATTTTACATTACTTATTGTACATGAAAAAGACTCGTGTAAATTAACAAAAATACATAAATATTCCGTGTGAATGCAATTTTGAAGTATACGACACAACTCTGATTAATGTACTATTATTCCTAGAAACATGAGAGAGAGAGAGAGAGAGAGAGAGAGAGAGAGAGAGAATTAGTGAAATAGTATTCCGTAGTAGTTAAATAAAATTATCTTTTAACAATCAATTTACTTTTTTGCTTTTTATTTTGAGATAAGCTATATATTGAGAAGTCGAAAATTTTATTTTACCATATATATTTAATTATTGTCATTCAACGAAGTAGCAATTAATTCTTACATTTTGTTTCAGGTTACTTCGTTACTTTTGGAGGGTGAGCGTCGCAAATTGGCAGTCTTGCAAAGGGAATTGCAAGCAGCCCTTGAGGAAGGTGGAAGCGTAAAGGTGAAGGAAAAGCAGCGACAAGAATTGCTGCATGCTATATCGTAAGTTTTTTTCTACAAATATCTTTTATTGGTATAAAATATGTGTAGATATTCTGGTGTGTGTCCAGTGTGTTATTTGCTATTTAACATTTTATTTGACTGCATATATTTTGAGTTATGCAAATTTAAACAATACCATGGTATTTTGCTAATGTGGCCCTCTATGGATATTGATTACTCATGACCTCTTTTTTGAGGTTTTTATATCAAAATAGTTATTTGATATGTTCAATTGTAGTTCTACTGTTAATCTATAGTTTATACTTTACTTTATAAGTGTACTATTTTTAGTATTGAGCAGCTTATATATGAATGTATATACATTCATTTGCATGCATTTAAAATGTTTTACTTTTTTGTTAATTTTGTAACCAAATACTATTTTCTAAACAAAACTAATATTTTAAAGCTATTTTTATGGAAGGCTACATTACTTCATTTTTTTCTTCGAGTCATTATGCAATGTCGCCACATTTTTATTAATAGTATCCTAAGTAATAAATATTTCGTAACTTTTTGAGTCCAGAATCGATTCAACATTTTAACGATTATAATTGGCACGTTTTAAACTTAAATATTGATTATTAACAAAGTTATTGTGTAAAATGTAACTGGAGTGCCATAATACCACCTTCTCCTCTAAAAACAATAAGCAAACGATTCATACGTGAGAGAGGACTTAAGTGAATCAAATACCCCACTCAATAGTACTTTGGAGCGTGCGCACACCCCTTTCCTCATACACACCAGAGAGGGTTTCGAATTATTAAATACTATAGGAATAACGAAGTGAAGTCCTTATATCTGTAATGCACACACATACACACACACACACACACACACACACACACATTTGCGGATAGTTTATACAGAAAGCCAAATATTAATCATTTTTTTGGAATTTATTGCCACGTATTGTTTGAATTTTAACATATAAAAGCAACACACACACATTGGCATCAAATGCAAAGAGAATTGAAAAAATTGCCATTCCAGAATGATTTACATCATTTTCTAACACGACTACCATGATTTTTTAGAAAGTTAATTTCAATAAAACATCAGGTATTCAAAATATTAATTTCGGAGTAGGAGACTGAGGTTAGTAGATTCATTTTTTAGTTTCGAATTTTTACAGACGAAATTAAGAGATTTATCGAAAAAATGAATTCTATACTAGTTATTACATACATTTGACCATCTAATAATATTTTAATGATAAGGGAAAACTGATAACTAATATAAAAAAAATGCATTTTTCTAATACATTCCATCTGATTCAACTAGTCCCGCGATCGGGGTAAGGTGACTAATGGTATGGGGTAATTTGACTAAGATTATTAAAAAGAAGATTAATGTATTTTAAGTTACATCTTTGGTTACATATTAATAAAACGTATATAAATATATATTTTAAACACAAACATTCGCTTCACAGGGCAGAGCAATGCTTCTTTTTGCTAAATTCGTTCGTTTCGTGCAAAAACACGTCGAATGAGCTTAGTTTTATCGAGATTGGACGTGAGGGAACTAAACTTATAACATTTACCACTGAGGTAAATCTTTTTAAAGGAATGAAATATTGAGTAGAGAGGTACTATAAGAGTTGTCACTAAATGAGTCATACAGCCTTATGCTGTAGTTAGCCTACTATCCGTTCATTTTTTAAAAATATTAACAGTAACGATAGTACGATAACAAAGACAGATAAACAAAAAAAATCTGTTGGACTTTATTAAGTATAAACTACACTTACTATCCAAATAGAAATGAAATATTTCAGACAATCATATGCGATTGTAAAACAAAAACAAGAATAAAAATATTTACTTAGGTGTATGATTTTTTAAAATTGTAGTGTAACTTCTATCATAGCATAGATGTATTCGCAACGAGATGTTATAGCAGACTGAGCGGCAGTCGCTGCTGCGTGCTCAGATACGTTTACGCGTGTCTCGCGTGTTTTGTTTTTAATATAGCCTCGATTATTCTACTTACCCCTATAGTCTACTGACTCCGATCTCCCCTAAATATGGCAACGTCACCACTCCATTTAAGCTAAAATCATTTAAATTGAATATAATAGATCTCAAGAAATAAATTTTCATAAAGTTTTGATAAAATTTGGATAGAGCCGAAATCGGCCCTTATAGATCCTCCTCCTTTCCGTATCAGTAATAATATTATATCATTTAATATCAACAGCGTTCTAGGGTTAATAGTTTTTTGTTTAAAAGTAAGATTTTTTAAAATTATTTTATGCGAATCTCTTTTTACAGAGACAGTTTTTGCTAATTTAATATGTATCAAGATAAGGAATTGTTTGTGTAAATAAAGGCTTTCGAATAAAACATTTACTGAGAGGCAACTAAAACGCGGAGTAAACGCGAATTTTATGTTAGAATCTACTCTCATGAGAATGCGAGCTTAACTTCTAAAAGATTTAGCGAGGGCGTTTCCGTGACGGAGTAATATATAATTTTATCGCAACACTTTTTACTCTCAGCAGAAAATGTTTCATCGCGTTACTTCAGCATACTCTGTATAATGCTTAATAATAAGTGAATATAACGAGCAAAATTATATCTTAATGAAGCTTAATTCATTAATATCAAAGTTTAAACTTTAAACTGACTTTTCAGTTTACAGTACGCAGCATTACAAATTTTGCAACTTGTGCATTATGTTATCGTCGTGTGAAATTCAATTATATAATTTATTGTAAATACCGAGAGGTTACTCACTCACGAATGGGATACTTAATTGATTCCGATTTCTTGTAATTTTCAATGTGATTTCAAAGCGATTTCGATTTTTTATAAATTTGAAATGGTTTCAAACGATTTCGTATGATTTCGTATGATTTCAAATGATTTCAAGTGATTTAAATGATTTCATGTTTAACTACGTGATTTCAATTTGATCTCTTAAAGATTTAATGTTGAAATAATTTCAATTGAGTTCTCTGATTTAATTTGATTTTAAATTGATTTCAATAATGAGTGCTTGAATGAGTAGCACCTCAATAAATATTTCCTATTGATTTTGTAACGAATCAAAATCCTAAACATGACGTGGTTCTCAAATGTATCGTGCATGTTTTATTTTATTTGCAAATCTTTCAAAATTATTCTCGCCCTTTGCATTGTAAATACATGGCAAAAAAGAGCAATACCTTGAGAAAGAGAACAGGTCAGCGGGATGAGAGACTTTTTTTTCACGTGTATACGAATACGAAGTTGTTTGCATAGCTCTCCCTTCGCGTTTGCGGTGTCTCACGTTGTGTTTGCACATGGTAACCCTCTCAGTCGGCTCTTTGATTATGCAGATTGATAAATTTATGAAATAACGAATATCTCGAAATTTTCTAATCTTTGTTTCTGATATACAAAAAAATGTACATTTAAATGAGCGAACATTTAGACATCTACATAAGTGAAAAATATAAGATTAAAATTTGTTTATAATTTGTATTAGGCATCTGAGATAAAATATGTTAACAGATTTGTTACAGATCAATATAATCAAATATAATAGAGTTATATGATAAAAGTAATAAATGCAATATTTCTTGATATATTGATAAAAGCTTCTACATATTCATTATTCCGTGGCTGCTACGACGATCTTGGTTGAGGCAAGAGATAGGAACTGTGCGCGCGAAGAAGAAAGATTTCTGATCGTAGAACCTAGGTACTTTGCGGTGGAAATCGAATGGGTAACCTTTACTTAAATCGATTCTGGCAGCGTAGAAAATCTTTTGAAAAGAATGTCTGGAGAAAAAGCGAATCTCGATAACGCTTATGTAAATTTATTCGATAAAATATTACTATATATTACTGCAATATAATATATGTTAGCATACATATTGTGAGAGATATTAAACGAGAAAGAAATAATGTTTGTAAATTCTATATAATAAAATTGTCAGAGATGACGAATGATTACAGTTGACATAGGTATAGTTCAACTATTATAGTTCACTATTTACTTCGTCCTCAAAGCTCTAAACAATCTTGTTTCTTTGCCGTCGTCTCGCGAGTGTTTATCTTGCAATATAACGCAATAAGCGCGCGTTATGTCTGCTTGAATAGATCTAATTTATTTTGTTCAAAGACGTACAATAATATTATATTTTCGTTCTTTGACGGTTGACAGTAGGATTGTTTTCCTTATATTTGTGTGCGCGCGTTTATCCATGTATTTTTTATTAATTTAAAGTTGAAAAAAGACTAAACGATAAATGGACGTAAATATATTGTACAAAATTATTTTAAAATATTTTATGAATTATTATTTGAGACTGTAAATAGTAAATTATTATTTTTTATTTAATTTGGAATACTTTATTTTCAAAAATTTTAAGTTATTATTACTAAAACATTTTGTTTAAAATAGTTTATAAATTATTAAAATATTTTTGTTGAATATTGTTAAAATGATCGAAAAATCTATGCGACAAGTACCGTGAAGAAAATATGTGTTGCTCATACAAAGATTGAAAGTATAACAATTTTATTATTAATAAGATCTTATATAAGATTGAACGATTTGATTGACTGACATTGATGATCTATGTTATATAATATTATACAAAGTATTTATTTTATATTTAACTATTTATAATAAAAGAAGGATGAGTTTGATCTTTTAATGAAGAAAAACAAGGATATTTTTTAAGACATTTCTTTTATTGCAACTGTTTCTTGGCCACATGAAACAAAATTATAAACGCTTAAAAAATTATTATAATAAATATTTTGTATATTGAGGAATTTTTGATATTTTCCATATTATTAATACCATATATTCAAAATGTCTGTGAAGCCATAAAATATTTTTCAATTTTGTTAATATTCCCTTATTTCTCTTGAGTAGAATGTTTCGTATACAGTCTATATACGACGTTAGTAAAGTCTTTGTAGGCAAGATTAGCATGTTATCGCCTGCGCCGACGTGTTAAAGCGTCCTGCAACCGCTTTCAAAATCAGCTTAATCGA